ATACACATCCTCCCTAAGGTTTCTGTTCAGGAAAGCAGTTTTGACATCCATTTGTCAAATCTCATAGTCATGATATGCAGCAATCGTAAGCATAATCTGGATGGATTTAATCATGGTAACCGGCGAAAAGGTTTCTTCATAGTCAATGCCATGAATTTGTTTGAAACCTTTGGCAAACAGCCGTGCTTTATAAGTATGCACGTTGCCATCCATGTCAATCTTCTTCTTGAAGACCCATTTACACCTTATGGGTTTTACCCCTTTAGGTGGTTCCACCAGAGACCACACTTGGTTCTGGTACAAGGAGTCCATCTCAGATTTCATGGCTTCAAGCCATTTAACAGAATCTGGATCCGATATAGCATCTTCGTAGGTTCTAGGTTCATTGTCTTGGTAGACTAGTACGTCACCATGTTGAGTCATGAGATAACCATATCTCTCGGGCTTAAGGGGTACTCTCCCAAATCTACGTAGCTCCTATGCTACTTGAGGTAGTTCACTTTGATCCACAAGTTGTGGAGTAACCTCCTCATGATGTTCAACCACTTCCTGTGGCACATCATCCTGTCCTTCGTCTAGTATATCTCGTGGTTCTAGAACTTCATCTAGTTATACTTTTCTCCCACTAGTACTTCTTAGAAAATATTCCTTTTCTAGGAAGACACTAGATCTAGCAATAAAAATTTTGCGCTCTTCTGGGTGCTAGAAATAGTATCCTTTGGTCTCCTTTGGATACTCCACAAATATATATTTACAGGATTTTGGGCCCAGCTTGTTCGAAGTCAATTTCTTAACATAAGCTTTGCAACCCCAAATCCTTAGATAAGACAAGTTGAGCTTTCGCCCACTCTATAGCAGTTGATTTAGAGATGAAATGTAAACCTAATGAGCTGAAAAGAAACAGAGCAAGTGAAGAAGAAGACTGAAATTTTCGTTTTTTTCTTATTAAAAGCTTTCACTGTTTACAAGCCTTTTATAATACAAGGCAAGGGTAAATCAGTAAATCCCAGGCAAGGGTAAATCAGTAAATCCCAAACTACTTTAATATTCTAATATCCTCCCTTAAACAAAACTTCTATCAGTAATAACTGTTACCAACTACTCTAATATCCACCCTTGAACTGTGGATTGTAGTATATCTATGGATTATCATGATGTTAATTCTTCTTGGGAGTCGCATGTTTCGTCTTAGAAAAAAAAAAAAGAGACGTTGTTCATCACATGGTTCAAATTATGTTTAATAACTAATATCTAAAATATTAATAATTAATGTGTAGAAATTATGTTTTTGAAATACTGTATGTACTTTTATGATAATGTTACATATTTTATTTTTTTTGGGTATGTAATGTGTTTTATGTTTTGTGCATGTAACAAAAGTGAAGAACTTGTGCATGTAAGATAAATCCCTCGCTTGATTTAAAAGATTTGATTTACTTGAGCTTAAGGAAATGATATTTTCCCAACGTTCAGATTCCTCCATTCCTTGGTCCTCGATCTTTCTGGAGCTAGATTTACCGGAATGGTTCCTTACCAACCAGGAAATCTCACTGATCTTAGATATTTTGACCTTAAGTATGGGTTATAATGGTTCCTCCTTTCCAACTCGGTTCACTTGCTTTGATAATAATACAGCCCAAACAAGCTTAAGCCCAAAATATAATTCAGTCCAAATATAATAATACAAGTAATATAATAATACAGCTTGAGCCCAAATATAATAATACAGCCCTCAAATATAATAATACATTTAACTTTATAAAAATAGTTTTAAGTAAAACTCACACTCAAAAGTTAATTTAATGAAGGAGAGAATCCAACCGTATATATACATCTTAACAACCTATCAACTTAACGATGTGGGACAATTATAACTTCAAACACTTAGCAATTATTTTTTTATTTGTTGTCTCCTACAAAACGAAATGATATCTTAGAAGATTAAGATTAAGATATGTTGTGTCAAATAAAAAGATTGCTTGGCCTTGTTCTATCATAGGATACTGTTAACTTTCTAACTCAATCAAAGAGGAAATTATGAAAGCATTCATATGAGATTTTCTCCTAGTGATTTAACTNAATTATGAACAAGATCGATATATTAAACTGTATCAATTAAATTACTAAAAGAGTTCACATGTTGGACCTGCTCATTAAACCTATTATTTATTTAGACCACATTATTACATGCTAAATACAAATCATATTCAGTGGTATCAACAAGTCAAGTCATTAATATGACTTAATACCAATTGAACGGACACATATACAATCGTTCACATAGATATATAAAACATTATTTCTTTTAAAATGAGAAAATTTAGAGGTGGACAAGCCCAGTCAGTCCCAGGGTTGGGCCCTCAAGGATCAGACCTAATTTGGGATCAGACCTAATTTGGGACCGATCCTTGAAGGACCAAGCCCAAATCTTGAAAGACTGGTCCTAGGCCCATGAATTTTCCTAGAGCCCAGACTAGTCCAATGCTTATATTTTAACACCTAAATTTATCATGTATATTATAGGAAGGCTTTAAATACTTTTCAGAAATGCTTATATTTTAACACCTAAATTTATCGTGTATATTATAGGAAGGCTTTAAATACTTTTCAGAAGGGTTTATGTAATTTGAGGGGTTTTAAAAATAAACGAGCCTGGGACCAGTGCCATCTCCCTTGGGCCTGGTCCGGTCCTACCAAGGACGGGTCCTAGGACACAGTTTTAGGCCCGGACCCCTCTAGGAAAATTCCATTCACTAGAAATGTAAAAGACACCGGCAGGTTTTGAACTTTACACAGCTCTGCCAAAAGAACGATGGGGGTTGGCATCATGGGATAAAAAGATGAGATCCTATGCAAAAATGCTGCAGTTCGTGCAGCAGCAAACAAAAGTAAAGAACAATCACTATGCCACAAAATTCATTCATTCTGTCAATATATATATATATATATATTCCACTTCAAGTCACTTTCCCACTCAAAAGTTATCATTTTAGTATTTTTTGCCACCCATTTTCATGTTCATGGACCTTTTCCTCCTTTTTCCTTAGAGGTGCTGGTCTAAAAGTAGTATCATTTGACACAAACCATTCATCTAATGTTAGTTATGTGCTTCCTTGAGTTAACATTTGTTAGTTATATGATTCCGAATAGAACCGGTTATTTAAGTATAATGTTATCGACTCTTGAAAATCATCAAATACGATACCGAAACATAATATTAACTATTAAGAATCATTAGATACAACACTGAACCATGATACTATCAACTACTGAGAATCATCAAAAGAGAACTATGATNCATGATGGTTTCACTTTATTTATTTTGTTGTAAATTGCATTTAATTAATAATTGAACAATACTTTTTATTTATTTTGAAAAATGGCGAAGAGAATGGATTTAAAGAACCATGATTTTTTTTGAATGAATCAAGCTATTAAAATTCATCTTAACGAAAAATTTGACAAAATAACTACGAGAATAATAGTTTCTAGCGTCAAAATGTAAATGTTTTCAGATATTCAATTAAACTTTTATTTCTCTAAGAATAGGAATTTGAATAAGAATAAGAATTAATTAATTTCTAAAAGTATTCTGATAATACCTTTTGACATGTTAGATTGGGATTACTACTGGGTAAGAGTATTTTTCCCAATTAAAAAGGAAAAGTTCATTAATAAGAGACACAGAATCCCATTTTATGTTGAAGTTAATTCATAATCTTTTAGAAGCTTTACAATTTTGGAGAACAGTATTTACATTATATATTTTATATAGAGCTTTTCCTTTTGTCATATATATTTTAAAACATAATTTCATGTGAATGTTATAAATAATGTGTAAAATTCTAAGGTTTAATTATCCCTTTTTCTTGGCTTATAGTTCACTTCTTGCAAAGATATTCAACTAACCTATGAAATTTTGTTGTATATTGAATCCTCTATTAACTTATTGTGGCCAAGAGAACTAGAATCGTTCTATTCTATTCTACTTTGTTTTAGTGAGGAGATGATGAAGGAAATTATATATGACTATGATTTATCATTCATAATTTAAAGAATTTAAATTTAACAATTACAATTTAAATACATAAAAATAGAGTCAAGTAATTAATTGCTTTTTGATTATGAGAATAAAAAGTCTAAATAAAAATATTAGTGATTTTTGTCATGATAAATAACACTTCAAACTTTTTTACTGATAAAAATCTTTCTTTAATTATTAATATTTAATTGTCATTAGTTGAATTCATCATGTTGCCATGGCATGTTATTATTCTTTCTCGGATTCATTTTGGTGTTGGCCGAAGACTTCTACTGCTTTATATGTAACACAATGTACCCAAATCTTCCACGTTGGGTTGGTGGCCAAAAACTTTTTTACGATAAAAGTCTCAATATGCAGCAATGTTATGTGACCCTATAATCATTAAAAGTCTTAAAAAGCCTGTTTGGGTTAGACTTATCTACTGTCGAAAGAATTTATTTAAAATCATAATTACTTTTTAAATTTAATTAGTTTATATCTCAAAAATATTTATGGGATTTTTAATAAGCTATAAATAAATAAATAAAATATTAATAGATTTATTTGAATTACAATTTAGAGAAATAAGCATGTGAGATGAAAACTTCATTGAATAAATTCATTCTCTTTCGGAGCTGTCTACTTCTCCACAAGCGTATAAGTTGGCATCAAAATTTTTTGTCTGATTGATAACATCTGTGGAGTTTTTAAGAAGATGAGTTTTCCAAAGTTTGAACTTTCTAGAAGTGGGGCCTATATCTTTAAGAACTCTTGGAAATTTTGATCAAAATTTGTAATCAAGGAAATTTCCTGCAACTTTCATGCACAAAAATTTCCAAATCAATCCTGAACTGAGATATGTTGAGATTATTGAGCATATAATCCTGTATATATAGAATGCTATTGATAAGGTTCTCATCACATCCCCTTTTATATATAGTTTCTATTCAGAGTTTCAATGACCATGAAACCGAGCATGAGTATTGTTGTTCTTTTTCTTGAGTTACTAGCCTTAGCAACCATCAACATTTGCTTCTGCAACAGAAACACCCACTTGAATTGCATTGCAAGTGAGAGAGAAGCACTTTTAAGGTTCAAGCATGATCTCAAAGATCCATCAAACCGGCTTGCCTCTTGGAAAGGTGATGGAGATTGTTGTTCATGGGCTGGTGTTGTCTGTGACAACTTGACAGGTCGTGTTCTCCAGCTCCACCTTCAAAATCCATGGGATCCTTACAATTATACTGACATTGGTTTTTGGAATGATGTTGAGTATGATTCTGTGCATGAAGCTTATGAAAAGTCAATGTTGGGTGGTAAGATTAATCCCTTTTTGCTTGATTTGAAAGATTTGATTTACTTGAACTTAAGCAACAATGATTTTGAAGGAATTCAGATTCCTAGATTTCTTGGTTCTATGGGAAAGTTAAGATATCTTGATCTTTCTGAAGCTGGATTTTCAGGAATGATTCCTCATCAATTGGGAAATCTCTCTTACCTGAAATATCTTGACCTTGGTTGCAATGTTTATTCGAATTTGTATGCTGAGAACACTTTTTGGTTATCTGGCCTTTCTTTGTTGGAACACCTTGATTTGAGTGGTGTGGACCTTAGCACATCCTCTGAGCAGCTGCAAGCCATAAATAATCTCTCTGTTTTAAAAGTGTTGAAATTGTCATTTTGTCAGCTTTCTAACTTTCCTCCACTACCCATTGCAAACTTTTCGTCTCTTACTGTCCTGGATCTTTCTGGTAACCAATTAGGTGACACAATTCCTAGTTGGATGTTTGGTCTTAATGATTTAGTCTTTCTTTCACTATTTGAAAATAATTTTCGAGGTCCTATTCCTGATGGACTTCAAAACTTGACTTCTCTAAGGCACTTTGATTTATCTGACAATGATTTCAACTCTGCATTTCCCAATTGGTTGTCCAAATTTAGCCTCCTTGAGGACCTAGCTTTGTCAGGAAATAAAATTGAAGGGAGACTTCCAAGATCATTTGGAAAACTTTGCAACTTGAAATCAATCTGTCTATTCGGTGTGAAATTAAATCAAAGTATATCTGAAGTCCTTGATATCTTCTCAGGATGTATATCAGAGGGGCTACAGGTTTTAGATTTGGAAAGATCTCAACTTTTTGGTCATTTGACGGATAAACTTGGGAAACTTAAGAATCTATCCTATCTTGACCTACACAACAACTCTATTCTTGGTTCTATTCCATTCTCTATGGGAAAACTTTTGTCATTAGAATTTTTAGATCTTTCCTATAACAAATTGGATAGAAGTATTTCTGAAATTCATTTTGCAAATCTCACCAAACTGCTTCAGTTTTTTGCATCTCATAACTCAATAACATTAACATTTAGTCCTGATTGGCTTCCTCCTTTTCAACTTGAGGTTTTAAGCTTGGATTCTTGTCTTTTAGGGCCTAAATTTCCATCATGGCTTCATTCACAAAAGAATTTAGAAATGTTGGAAATATCAAACTCAACAATTGTAGATACCATTTCTAATAGGTTTTTAAATTCTTTTCCCCGTATTACTTTTTTAAACCTCTCCCACAACCGAATCCATGGAGAACTTCCAAATTTAGTTAATGTTGCAACTCTTAGATCACTTTTCTTGAATTCAAATAATCTGTCAGGTCCTTTGCCCCTTTTATCCTCCAAGTTGATTGACCTAGATCTTTCCAATAACAGCTTTTCAGGATCCATTTCCCAATTCTTATGCCATGGTAAAAATGAGTTAAAGTACATGGAACTTCTCTACCTCAAAGATAATGTTTTATCTGGTGAATTACCAAATTGTTGGGTGAATTACGGTGAATTGAGTTACCTAAACTTAGGTAATAATAATTTTACTGGTCACCTGGAAAGTTGATATTTTATGTTATAAGTCTAAAAAGCGGTTGCTTAGATTGAAACGGTTCCATGCTCTACTTTGATTGTTAAAGAGTGTATTAATAGTTAGATTTGACATCTCAATGGCTATTTTCTTCTTCGTCCTTTTCTTCTTCGTTGACTAGGAAAGTTCAAAGTCTCCTCTGACAGTAGTTCTATTAATAGTCATTGAACTTTTATGACAAAGTTGAAATTAATATTTGGTTTGAAATTTTCAAAGACTTTCACCACAGCAGATTTTGAAAGTGAGTGAAGTACTGAGATAGTAATTGCATACAAAATAGTAAATAAAATTGAGAAAGAGAGTTTATAGTGATTCAAATCTTATAAGCAATTCCTATATTCATTGATCGTATATAGAACTGTCTTTTTTTTTTTTTTTAATCATTATAGGCTGCAAGAGTTGCCGTGTTGAATTTTCTTCTTTTGTTGCCTTTGACTTCTTAACAAGCAAGAGGTCGGCAAATTGGGACCAATAAATTAAATTAATTGGAATTGACATGCAGAACATTCTCTAAATTCATGTATCGGGCCCATTAATTGATTGGTTCAAAATTGATGTATAACAGAAAACCTTAAAAGTCCCCAAATGATAAGTCGTAAACTCTTTGAAAACAAAAAGGACTAATCTTGAAACAGAGTGAAGAGAAATAGCACGATGTAAAGAAGAAATTTATGTATTCAAACAGTAATTGCAAGAAAGAAAAACCAATGAGAATCGTCTTTAATTAGACCATCACTAATTTCTATGGAAAAAAACAATTTGACTTAGAGTTGAGATGTATCTATCATTTTCTGTGGAAAAAAAAAAAATATTCTTGAAATTCCAAATGAATTATCAATCAGATATCAATTTTTACACCAACTCACTCGCAACTCCATGGAGACAATGGCACAATTGCAAAAGCAAAATATCTGAAAAGAGCTTATAAAATTACTAAAATTCAACATAATTTAATGTGAATATTATAAATAAAATAATCCATTTCATATCAATTAATGGAATCCTTAGATATAGCTCTCCTATTATAAAATAAATTAGCTAAGGATAAGTTCATCATAAATACTAATGAAAAAGGTTGAAAGATCATTTATTAGATAATAATACTTTTTATTCACTTAAGAGTATCTGTGATAGCAAACCGCCAGCCCACTCTTAGAAATTTTGATCAGTAGTTGTAATCAAGGAAATTTCTCGTACTTTCATGCACAAAAATTTCTTTAAGAATGATGATCCCATAACATGGTGATGTGGGACATAAAAACAACTAACCCTAGACTATAAGGTGGACATAAAAGCCAGCTGGCAAGTCGCACCACAATTTTCCTTCATTATGCTTTCAATAAAACAAACAAACTAGTTGAATTCTTCTTTTAGTTGCCTTGAGTCTACTCTGATGCCCAGGTCAATCAAACTGGGACCAAAAAAGGACTTGATCTTAAAACAAGTCAAGAGGAAACAAAATGAATTAATTTATTATCACGATGGTTTTACTTTATTATTTTGTTGTAAATTGCGTTTAATTAATAACTGAACAATACTTTTTATTTATTTTGAAAAATGGTGAAGAGAATGGATTTAAAGAACCATGATTTTTTTTAATGAATCAAGCTATTAAAATTCATCTTAATGAAAAATTTGATAAAATAACTAAGAGAATAATGATTTCTTGTGTCAAAATGTAAACGTCTTCAGTATTCAATTAAACTTTATTTCTCTAAGAATAGGATTTAATAAGAATAAGAATTAATTAATTAATTAATTTCAAAAAGTACCCTGACATGGTAGATTGGGATTAACTAATGGGAAAGACTATTTTTCCAATTAAAAAGGAAAAGTTCATTAATAAGAGATATTGAATCCCATTTTATGTTGAAGTTAATTCACTATCTTTTGGAAGCTTTACAATGTTGGGGAACAGTATTACGTTATTATTTAATATAGAGCTTTTCCTTTTGTTATATATATTTAAACATAATTTCATGTGGATGTATAATAATGTGTAATTCTAAGGTTTAATTATCCTTTTCTTGGCTTAAGTTCACTTCTTGCAAAGATACTTAAGTAACTTTTTGTTAACCTATGAAATTAATTTGGTGGGTCTATCGAATCTATAACTTATTGTGGGCAAGAAAACTAAAAAAGTTTGCTCTACCTGTTTTAGTGTGAAAATAATGAAGGAAATATATGTGATTAGGACTGTCATTTGGGATTTAAAGAATATATATTTGTTTTTGTTATATATATTTTAAAATTGAAATGAAATTATGTTTCTTTTCTATATACCTCACACATCTAAAATTATAGTTTTAAAACCTAGACCGACTAGCCAGTCCGATCAGGAAGGGCCCCTTATCTGGTCGGAACATTATAAACTCGGTTTCAACCATTGGATGATTGACCCAAGTTGAATTGGCAAACAATGCCGACCCCATGGCTCAACTTCTGAGTCAAGAACCGATGGTTAAACCGGTCAGATTAACAACATTGCAAAGTTATAAAATGTCCAAAAACTTGCAAAAACACCCTAAAAATATAAAAACGTCCAAAAAACATGCAAAAACACTCCTAAAATATAAAAACGTCCAAAAACCCCTAAAATGACTCTGAAAGGCTAAAAGATGATGATACTATCATCCGAAAAAATAACCGCATTCTAACGTTGTGACACTATTCATCCCAGGGGGCCCTACATCAATGCTGATGTAAACATGACTCACCAGTCTCAATCATCGGTTCGGAGTTCAGAATGCCGACCCAGGGAGCGATCCCTTGATCAGGTCAAGGTCCATCGGTTATAAAAACATTGCTTAACTTAATTAACCGAGTTTTCAAGTACAAAAATAAGATTTGTTTATCCCTTTTTTACAATTTCTTATTATTTGAATTACAAAAATTACATAATAATATTAAAGGATTATTAATATAAATTACTACAAGTACAGAAACTGGGATTTTATGACTCTTTTCCTAAAAATTTCTTTGTAAAATTGTATTTCTTTAGAAAAACTATTTAAAGATTAATACAATTGTAAATAGAATAGAATTATGATAGTCATATTAAGAGTAGAATAAGATTCTATGAGGAGTAGAATATCTCATGTATCACCTAAAAATGAGGGGAGTGAGAACAAATCAAGATTATAAGGGGGTGAGAACTAAATCAGATTATGAGAGAAGGATGGTTACAGCAAAATGTTGTTTAAACACCATGGATTTGATTGTAGAAATTGGATTGTGTTTCCAGTCGGTTGATTAGGTGCTAAGTTAGGTATTGAATTTATGGTGTGTGTATTGTATATTGTGTAAAACAAGTATATATGTCCAGAACATAGTTTAATAAATCATAGTACAACCAATGTTTAACTAATATGATCTATGATATGTATTAAGGTAAAATCTAAGGTTATTTATTTAATGGGGAAATCTAACAGAGAAGCAAGAAAATCATCGCTTTTTAATAACTTCTTTAATGACAAAGAGTCTAGTCTAGAGATAAGGGGGTCCATAACGTCTTGGAAACTCTAAATTAAAAAGTACTAAAAATTAATCTAATCCAAAGCCTTCTAGATGATATAGAATACGCAGTATAATACGACGCTAGATCAATGCTCTCATGCACAACTCCATAGGCCATGAACCAAGCATGAGTATTGTTGTTCTGTTCTTGCCTTACTTGCCTTGGCAACCATCAATTTTGTTTCTACGCAAACAGAAGCACTCACCTAAATTGCATCGAAAGTGAAGACAAGCACCTTTTAAAATTGAAGCAGGATTTTGGAGATGAATCAAACACTGCTTGCTTCTTGAGTGGTGTAGAAATTGTGTTCATGGCTGGTGTTATCTGTGACAATTTGACCGGCCACGTCCTTGAGCTCCACCTGAAGGCGATTCGCACGATTCTTGAGAGGCAAGATAAATCCCTCTTGGCTGATTTGAAAGATTTGGTTACCTTGACTTAAGCAAAAATTGTTTTGTGGATATTACCTCCATTCCTGGTTTATGAAAAAGTTAAGGTACCTTAATCTTTCTTATGGTGGATTTAGGGGATGATTCCTCCTCAACTAGGAAACTTTCCGATCTACAGTATCTTGACCTTTCTACACATGGCATCTTGACAGGATGATTCCTCATCAATTGGGAATCTCTCCAACTTGAGATATCTTGACCTCAGAGGTGGGATTGGCTGATGTTGAGAATTTGTCTTGGCTATCTGGTCTTCTTTTGATGGAGCACCTTGATTTGAGTGGTGTGAACCTCACCAAATCTTCCGACGGGCTCGGTGATAAATCGTCTCCCTCTTTTACAAGTGCTAAAATTGTCAACATGTGCAACTTCATCACTTTCCTCCCTTACCAATTGCAAACTTTTCACTCTTACTATCCTGATCTTTCTCTGAACCAATTAGGTACCTCTATTCCTAGTTGGATTTTTGGTCTTAAAGACTGATCTTCTTTCACTATATGGTAATGATTTTCAAGGTCCAATTCCAAATGGACTTCAAAACTTGACATCTCTTAGGCACTTTGATTTGTCTGGGAACTTATTCAACTCTTCAATACCCGACTGGCTGCACATATTAGTTTCCTTGAGTTCTTTTCTCTTGAAAGTCTCCTTTGACTTCATACCATGTGGTGAACTTGAAGGTAGTATTCCAAGGTCATGGGAAGACTTTGTAACTTGAGATCACTTGACTTAAGCTGTGCAAGTTGAATCAAACGATATCGAAATCTTAGATATCTTTTAGGTTGTGTTTCAAATGGCCTAGTGTCATTGGCTTTGAATCAAGCACATTTTTGGTCATTTAACCGACCAGTTTGGCAAATTAAAAAATTTAGTTTCTATTGATCTAAGTATAACTCCATAGTTGGTTTGTTTCAGATCTTTAGGACAAACTTTCATCCTTGGAAGAAGTAGATCTTCCTTCAACAAATTGGAGGGAATATATCTGAAATTCACTTTGTCAATTCACAAGATATATGCTTTTGATGTATCTGAAAACTCACTATCATTGAAAGTTAGTCCTGATTGGATTCCTCCTTCCAACTTGGAGTGCTTGGTTTGCGTTTGTCATTTGGGTCTCGATTTCCATCTGGCTTCCTTTGCAAAAGAATTTATTGCTTTGGATATATCAAACTCAACACTTGTAGATACCATATCTAAGGTCTGGGAATTTTTTTCCCAAATTTCTGTTTTAAACTCTCTCACAACCAAATTCATGGAGAAATTCCAAATTTAAGGGAGACTGCCTTTTGGAAGTCTGTTCTTGTAGTCAAATAGTCTATCAGGTCCATTGCCTAATATGTCTTCCTTGCGTCCCGCTGAAATCAATCTTTCCAACAATAATTTCTAAGGATCCATATTCAATTTCTGTGTTCTGGGTTTAACAATCTTGAGTTTCTCACTTAAAGGAAACTTCTTATTTGGAGAGTTGCCCGATTGTTGGGAGTATTTCAAAAGTTTGAAGATACTTGATTTAGGGAACAATAAATTTACGGGGAACTTCCAACCTCCATCGGAAATTTGGATTCCCTTCAGTCACTTCACTTAGAAGAAATAAACTTTCTGGACCATTACCTATGTCATTTAGAAATTAGCAAATTAAAGATACTTGACATAAGTCAAAATGAGTTTGTCGGAAAAGTTCAGCATGGTCGGAGAAACATTTTCAAGAATGATAATTCTCAACCTCCGTTCAAATAAGTTTTATGATGTTTTACCGGTGGAGCTTTGTCAGTATCTTCTCTGCAAATCTTAGACCTGCTTATAACAATTTCTTTGGAAGAATACCAGCATGTCTCAATAATTTCAGTGCCATGGCGACAAAGCTATTCCATAGGGACCGTTATCTGTTCAACGAAATCACAGGGTGAGAAAATTATTGTGGATGATTCGCCTTGTTATGAAAAGACAAAGGAGGAAATAGCACTATTCTTAATTTGGTAGAAATTATAGACCTTTCCAAAACAATTTTTCTGGAGAGATTCTATTGCAGTAACAAACCTGGAGCACGCAAACACTGAATGTCAAATAATTTTCTTACCGGAGGAATTCCTAGAACCATTGGTGCTATGACATCTATAGAATCCTGATTTCTCTGGCAATCATCTTTCAGGTGAAACCCATGGAGTATTTCGAACCTGACTTTTTTGAGTCACTTGAACTTATCCAACAACAACCTCATGGGAGGATTCCTTGAGCACTCAACTACAAAGTTTGGATGCATCTTGTTTTGCTGGAAATGACCTTTGTGGAGATGACTTCCTAGAATGTCATGCGACTGATTCAATGTCAAACCACAAAGATGAACATGAAGTGAATTGGTTTTATGTAAGCATGCCAATTGGGTTTATAGTGGCTTCTGGGGTGTAATTGGTCCTTTGCTTGTCAACAGAAGATGGAGGTACAAGTATTGTTATTTCTTAGATTGTCTAGGGAACAAACTTTACTATTTTGTAAAAAATGTTGCTAATCCTTTATGCTCTGAGCTATATGGTGTATGGTTGAAGAGAGAAATAACTGTTAAATAAAGATGATGTCTTATTCCAAAGAGTTTATTCCATTTTAAACTTGATCTTTGTTATTGGAAGTATTAGCATTGTGAGATATTATTGGCATCCCAACGAGTGAATTCTAATTATAACAGCAAAGAACAACACTATAAGAAAAGATAAAATGTCTAAAAAGACTATATTTATGCAGCCCTCAAATACAATATACCATCAACTTGATAAAAATGGGTTCGGTAGGACCTACTCTTAAAAGCTAATTGAAGAAAAAGAGCTCAATACATATATAAACCTTAACAACCCATTAATGATGTGGAACAATTATTTTTTCTCGTTGTCTCCTACAAAACGAATGATATCTTAGAAGATTAAGATATGTTATGTTAATAAAAAGATTGCTTGGCCTTGTTCTGTCAAATGAGACTTTAACTTTCTAAGCCATAAAGAGGAAATTATGAAAGCATTCATATGAGATTTTCTAGTGATTTAACTATTGTTAAAAAATTATAAATAACTTGACAGTTATCATACACTTTAAAAGTTATTATTAGAAAAAGCTAGCTAATTGTAGTTTGTAATAGTTCAAATAAAATTATGGATTATTCATTAAATTCAAATCATCGGATCTTTTCCTTAGAACAATGATTCTTATTATAAAGAAACTCTACTGAATTAATTCATGACTTAGATAACTCTTGGAGTTTCAGGAACATAATTTTTTTCTTGAGTAAATGATACGTTTGAAGTCAAGGACGACTAATATTATATGAAAACAAAGATTGATTAAACATTTACCTAAATTAGATTTTCAATTGACAAAAAGTTAAAGTGTTACATGGACAGCTAGCTGGCGATGTTGCACTCAGATAATTTTCTTCATTCTGTTTTTAGTAAAACAACGGACCACTTGAATTTTTTTTTTGTTGCCTTTGACTCTCTCTGACAGCAAGAGGTCGACCAAACGGGACAAATAAATTAAATTACTTGGAACTGACATGTAGAAAACTTCTCCAAATTCATTGTATCGGACCCATTAATTGGTTGGTTCAAATGACGTATAATAGAAAACTTAGAAGTCTCCTTATGATAAGTTGTAAACTTCTTTGAAAACATAAAGGACTCGATCTTGAAACAAAGTGAAGTGGAAATAGCACAAAGTAATTTTTATTGATGTCCGTAAATGAAGAAATTTATGTATTCGAACAATAATTTCAAGAAAGAAAATGTTGGAGTTGTGACTACTTCAGCATTATGGGTAACGGAGACGCACTCGGGGGGTCCCACTGTAGGATCCTTTTAAGTTATTAATTCCTTTTTGGGTGGGGTTAGGAATAGGAATTCTTGTAAAACTAGGTTTAATCTCTTAAACCTAGTATATAAAATACTTTTCTTCTTGTTATGTGTGTGAGAAAAATTCATTCATTGTAAACGAGAGAGGTGAGGCATATTGCAATAATATTGACTCAGCTGGACGTAGCCACATGGGTGAACTAGGGTAAATCGCGCGTATTATTTTTGTTACTGTTTATTTTGTTTGCTATTATTATTTTGTTCCGTGTTATCTCATTGTTCAGAAAAACCAATGAGAATCGTTTTAATTAGACAATCACTAATTTCTATGGAAAAAACAATTTGACTTTAGAGTTGAGATGCATGTATCATTTTCTGTGGAAAAAAAAAATATTCCTGAAATTCCAAACAAATTATCAATCAAACATCAATTTTTACACCAACTCACACGCAATTCCATGTGACAATGGCACAATTGCAAAAGCAAAATATCTGAAAAAGAGCTTAAAAATTACTAAAATTCAACATAATTTACTGTGAATATTATAAATTAATTAATCCATTTCATATTAAGGAGTCCTTACATACACTCTCCTATTATATATAAATTAGCTAAGGATTAAGATCATCGTAAAATAATGAAAAATGTTGAAAGATCATATATTGGATAAATAATTACTTCTTTAGTTCACTTAAGAGTCTACGGTGATTGCAACCGCTAGCCCACTCTTAGAAATTTTGATCAGAAGTTGTAATCAAAGAAATTTCCTGCAACTTTCATGGACAAAAATTTCTATAAGAATGTTGATCTCACTAACTTGGTGATGTAGGACATAAAAGAAACTAAATGCCCTAGACTATAGGGTGAACATAAAAACTAGCTGACAATGTTACACTCACAATTTTCTTCATTATGTTTCAATAAAACAAAGGGACCAGTTGAATTTTCTTCATGATCATGATGGTTTCACTTATTTATTTTGTTGTAAATTGTATTTAATTAATAATTGAACAATACTTTTTATTTATTTTGAAAAATGGCGAAGAGAATGGATTTAAAGAACCGTGATTTTTTTTGAATGAATCAAGCTATTAAATTCATCTTAACGAAAAATTTGACAAAATAAATAAGAGAATAATGGTTTCTAGTGATAATTTGTTTTCTTGAGTAAATGAACGTTGAAGCAATGACAACTAACATCATACTAAAAATAGAGATGATTAAACATTAACTAAATCAATTGACAAAAAGATTAAAGTGTTATAGGACAGTTAGGGGCGATGTTGCACTCAGTACAATTTTCCTTCATTATGTTTTCAGTAAAACAAATGGACCACTAGAATTTTCTTTCTTTGTTGCCCTTGACTCTTCTCTAAACGTAAGAGGTTGACAAACTGGGACCATAATTAATTACTTGGAACTGACATGCAGAAAACTTCTCCAAATTGATTGTATCCTGACCCATTAATTGGTTGGTTCAAAATGATGTGTAACAGAAAACCTTAAAAGTCCCTGATTATAAGTTTAAACTTCTTTGAAAATATAAAGGATTTGATCTTGAAACAGAGTGAAGAGAAATAGGTTTATTACTGTCCGTAAACGAGAAATTTATGTAATTCGAACAATAATTTCCAAAAGAAAAACCAATGAGAATAGTCTTTAATTAGACAATCACTAATTTCTATGAAAAAAACAATTGACTTTAGAGTTGAGACGCATGTATCATTTTCTGTGGAAAAAAAACAATTCCTGAAATTCAAACAAATTATCAATCAGCATCAATTTTTTACACTAACTCACACGCAATTCCATGTAGACAAGACACAATTGCAAAAGCAAAATACTGAAAAAGAGCTTAAAATTAGTAAAATTCACATAGTTTCCTGTGAATATTTAAATAAATAATCCATTTCATATTAATGGAGTCTTACATACAGCTTCCTATTATATATAAATTAGCTAAGATTAAGATATGGTAAATACTAATGAAAATGTTGAAAGATCATTATTGGATAAATAATTACTTTTTTAGTTCACTTAAGAGTCACGGTGATAGCAACTCGCTAGCCCACTCTTAGAAATTTTGATCAGAAGTTGTAATCAAAGAAATTTCCACAACTTCATGGACAAAAATTTCCTATAGATGTTGATTCAATAATTGGTGATGTAGGACTAAAAGAAACTAAAACGCCTAGACTATAGGGTGAACATAAAAGCTAGCTGAAATGTTACACTCACATTTTTTCTTCATTATGTCAATAAACAAAGGGACCAGTTGAATTTTCTCTATGATCATGATGGTTTCACTTTATTTATTTGTTGTAAATTGCATTAATTAATAATTGAACAATACTTTTTATTATTTTGAAAAATGGCGAAGAGAATGGATTTAAAGAACCATGATTTTTTTTGAATGATCAAGCTATTAAAATTCATCTTAACGAAAAATTGACAAAATAACTACGAGAATAATGTTCAGCGTCAAAATGTAAAGTTTTCAGATATTCAATTAAACTTTTATTTCTCTAAGAATAGGAATTTGAATAAGAAAAGAATAATTAAATTCAAAAAGTATTCTGATAATACCTTTTGACATGTTAGATTGGGATTACTACTGGGTAAGAGTATTTTTCCCAATTAAAAAGGAAAGTTCATTAATAAGAGACACAGAATCCCATTTTATGTTGAAGTTAATTCTAATCTTCTAAGAGTTTTACAATTTTGGAGAAAGTATTTACATTATATATTTATATAGAGCTTTTTTTTGTCATATATATTTAAAACATAATTTCAGTGAATGTTATAAATAATGTGTAAAATTCTAAGGTTTAATTATCCCTTTTTCTTGGCTTATAGTTCACTTCTTGCAAAGTAATTCAACTAAACTATGAAATTTTGTTGTATATTGAATCCTCTATTAACTATTGTGGCAAGAGAACTAGAATCGTTCTATTCTATTCTACTTGTTTTAGTGAGGAGAGATGAAGGAAAAATATATGACTATGATATTATTCATATTTAAAGAATTTAATTTAACAATACAATTTAAATACATAAAAATAGAGTCAAGTAATTAATTGCTTTTTGGATTATGAGAATAAAAAGTCTAAATAAAATATTAGTGATTTTGTCATGATAAATAACACTTCAAACTTTTTACTGATAAAAATCTTTCTTTAATTATAATATTTAATTGTCATTAGTTGAATTCATCATGTTGCCATGGCATGTTATTATTCTTTCTCGGATTCATTTGGTGTTGGCCGAAGCTCTACTGTTTATATGTAAACAATGTACCCAAATCTTCCCGTTGGTTGGTGGCCAAAAACTTTTTACGATAAAAGTCTCAATATGCAGCAATGTTATGTGACCCTATAATCATTTAAATATATGTGTGTG